ATGGAATGGCAAATTACTTTAAAAATTAATTACGGGCAGGTAAAAAAATATGTACGAACAAAAATATTATTATAACCCACCTACAAGAAACAAAAAATCGCTTTTTTTATACTGTCCATTCACTAGATCTAAAAAACCTGCCAAAAAAAGTTACATGATTAGTAATTGCGGTAGGGTAACGCAATCTAGATCCCACTATGAAAAGCAAGTCTATTCGGTCATAAGTTCCAAATACTGGGTCTATTTTGTTATTTTTCTGGTAAAATTAACTCCCTTAGATTCGATAATCATTTCTGCGAAGTGAAAAAAGTCAACGATCTTGACGATCTAGGAATTCCAAGTCCCCCATGACATATAAATTTGAATAAAACTACTGATAAGGAACGTTATACTCATTACCCTTATAGCCTTTTTAGACACGAAGTGTCCTGCTTCGCAGAGCCCCATTCTTATCGTGGAATCGTATAAAGTAAGGAAAAGGGTCTAGTCATTATTCGTAATATTCGTTAATAAAAAAATCGACCGTAAGAATTAATTCTGCAGATAAGTGATACAAACCGCATATCTAATTTTGTGTGACGAAACTTAATTTTTTGTGTTCTGGCTAGGTTAATGAGATTTGTCACATTTATTAACCGCAAGACTAAAATTTTCACCGATAAACTCTGCACTGATCCCGTGGCGACGATCGTAATTCAAACTTCTCCAAGAGCATCACCAAAAAATTTTCGGTATTAAGATTCTTAAAAGTTCGTTAATATTAGGGTTAGCGTTTATATTGTGGTTAAATGTTAGCATAATATATAGTAAAATCGTCCAAAGAAAACTTTTTGTTAGAGCACCAAGGGTGGTTTCTTATACAGATTTTTGAGTTATTGGCGTTTTTAGACAAAATGAACATTTGTTTTGAATTATCTAATCGTGTTACGTTAGTATTACGTTATGCCTAATCTTGAAATACTGTATGATTGGTTGCAGTCACGCTTCGATGGTGCTCTTGGGGTAGTTTCGTAATTCATCTTCTAATAATCTAAGTTAAATTAATTCGTTCGATCATACTTACCAGAACCGACGTAGTTTAAGGGATTACTAAGCTCGTTTTTACCGCATGTAAAACTTATTTATTTAGAGGCAAATCCAGAGCCCCAAAATAATAATACGATTACCCCCCATATGCACAACGTCTAATATAATTTTATAGAAAGGCGTAACGAAATATCTCCATATTTGTCATAGACCAGGCATATGACGGAGATGCAGAGCGCCGTTTTACCTTTTACGTATCAGCTTTCTCAATTTTTCATATGTACCCACTTAAATCCAAACTAAATTTTCCTCTAATTTCTCTCTCCCTTTTCTAAAAACAGTGGTCACTTACTTTGACGCTTCATAATCAATTGCAAAAGTGTTTACTAATCTTCTTGAGCAGGACATCGGCTCTGGGGTTACTTCAATCCTAACGGCTCGTTGATTTGTATCGCTTTTGACCCCACCCATTAGTAATAAAAAAAAAACATGCAAGCGTCTAACCCCACTAATTCGAAGGCCTTGAAACGAAATTTGCGTAGTAAGTTACGGCGAACTAAGAAGGTGAAGCTTGGAAAACAGACCAACCCGTCAATGGATAATGAAATCACCCCCAGCACCAACGATGATATCAATCATAATGATTGTGAAGGCGATGATAGTGACAAACAAAAAGAAATATTTTATAACCCTCAAAAGGTAGGTCATTAGTGTGCAGTAGGGAATATGTTTTTAGTATTGTAATAATAAAGTTCGGCTTGAAGAATAGGGGCAGTCATCGCCTTTCGAGGCAGGTCTAGGGGCCAATTGAACCCTCCCTTAAAAAGCTCTACTTTATTTTAATTCAATTTTTCTTGGGCGTGATCGTCGTCTTTCTAAGCAAGGTATATGTGAGGAGAGGAAGGTCACGAAGACTTCCCGCGGTTTAAAACCACTGAGCTACATTGCAAAGAATGATTTGATTGTATCTACCGGAAAATTTTAATATAGATTAATTGAAAATATGAACTCAGATTGACAATCTTATTTTATTATAATTTAGCATAAAACTCAAGGAGAGACGCGCCTGTCTACAAAGGATCAATCACGCGAATATATACGCTCCTTTTGGGTATCTGAAGATTTTTTGGCCGAAGATCTTAAATCAATTAATAAATCTCAAATGACTAATGTTATAAGCCCCAATTTACATTTATAGAAAAGTTTCTAGAGAAGAGGACGCAACGCCAGATTGTTAAAAAGTTGATTGATAGTAAGCTATTTCCTCTAAATACGGTAATGCTTTACACTTTCACCCTTAAACTTAGTGCTCTTTCTAACTCCTAGTTAGATATACTTTCGAATGCTAGTCATAGTAAATTATACGAAAACAATGATAGTAATAAATTCTTACTTTTCCAAAAAATTCCTTCAGATTTTATGTATATATTAGAATCTAACATTTTTAGCCTAAATAGTAATAATAAAAAAAATACACTTGATTTAGAAGTAGATAAGTAGGGAGAATTTGCACGTTGGGTGCATTTAACCAAACATCGCTTTTGTCTCGATTAAAGTGCATGATGATCAGTATAAAAATATCTTTTTTTATTATTGCACTAACTAAATATGTTATGAAACTCAAGAAGGAGCATAATACTGTATTGGCTACTTACCGTAGATAGATACAAATATCGAGATAATTTAAAACCTGATTGCTTATAAAATTTAATTGTATATCTATGAGCTTGCCAGATCAGCCATCTCAAAGATCACTAACAATCGGCATCACTATCGAGATGTTGCAGTTGTGGCAATAACCTTGATCATTAAGGGGTTATTAAAATTCGAAATTAATAAGTTGCGTATCGAAATAAGTAAAGCGGAGCTCATGCCAGACACGAAGTGTCATTGTTCCACAATAGGCATAGAATTTTAAATAGCGTTTTTACTATGTAAATTATGTGTCAAAGATACTAGCTTCGCTATAAATCGAAAAAAAATAAATTGAGATTCTCTAGTTTTAATGTTGAAACCCCTAATTTTAAAATCGGCTAGTAAGTATCTAAATTCAATACAAAATATGACTATCTTATTCAACATTTCTAAATTAGACTTTTAATCGAATTAAGCTTAGCTACTT